AGACCCGTGCCGCGGGGACCGGGTCGGGCCAGAGCCGACCCGAGCGCGGGGCCCTCTTGGCGCGGGGCCCAATTCGAATTGGCTGAATCGGCCTAAAGCCGGCCCTGGCTGCAAGTGTAGCCAAGGCCTTAAGCACTACAGTGTTGCTGGTGCAGTGCTGTACATGAAGACAAGCCCAGAGTGGTGGAACAGATTGTTTAGCATAAATAGTTAGCACATTTTTCAAGGGACCATTCGAAGTGAAGTGGACCGTTAACACCTCTCAGTCATAGGCAGGGCTGGAGGAAAGCTGGTGGTGTGGGGCAATTGGAGGGGTTAGAGATTGTTGCAATAAGCCATAAACCCAGTGTCTCTATTCAATCCGTGATTTTTAGTGTCTATCAACGTTATAAATGTAAGCTCCCAGGCTCGTCTTTTGAAGGTGTTGTGCAGGTTTCCTTTGAGGATGAGGACAGAGAGGTCAGATATAGAGTGATTGTTTTGTGAACATTGTTCACCCACAGATGATAGGGTGTTTTTGTATTTTATCATTTCTCTGTGTGAGTTTATTCGAGAGTGTCTGTCTGTTTGACCCAAATAGTTGTGATTGGGGCATTGAGTGCACTGGATGTGGTACACCACATGTTGTGATAGGCATGTGTAGGACCCATGGATCTTGAAAGGGGTGTTGTGGGGGGATGTTTGTCATTGTAACAATGGAGATGTGTCTACAGGTTTTGCATCTGTTGTTCTGACATGGTCTGGTACCACTTTAAGTTGGTGTGTTCTGGTCTATGAGGAGCTTGCTTATGATGATGAGCTCGGAGAGGCTGGAGGGTTGTTTGAAGGCCAGCAGACAGGATTCAGGAAATATTTCTTTCAGGATGGGGTCTCCATCGAGTGTGGGCTGTAATTTTTTGATGATACCTTATATGGGCTCCGGCGTTGGTTGGCAGGTGACAACTAGGGGTGTGTGGTTGGAGGGGGTTTTATTTCTATATTGAAGCAGGTTGTCTGGCAGTATTTGGGTGGCCTGTTTCATGATGTGATCTCCTTCTCTGGTGGAGTGTCCTCGTTTGGTGAAGACAGTTTTAAGTGTACTCATGTATCGATCTCAGATTTTCTGCTCAGAGCATATTCTATGATATCTGAGTGCCTGGCTGTAGATAACACATTTTTTGGTGTGTTTGGGGTGGTTGCTGGATCTGTGAAGGTAGGTGTGGCAGTCCCTGGGTTTCTTGTATATAGTTGTCTGTACGGTTTCTTTGTTCAAGCCGATCATGCACAGACCCATGCAGCATAGACAGACACATAGTTCTGTGCTCAGATGGACTGACCCACACCTTGATACACGCAGTGCACAGATAGAGACACAGCCCTGTTTGTGCTCAGACATGTCGGTTTAATAAAAGATATTACCTCCCCCAAGTTGCCTCTGTAACATGCAGTGCAGACAGACACAAAGCCCTATGCTCTGACAGACCCAGGCATAGCCACGTGCAGCGTGTACAGACACAGGGCCCTGTGCTCAGACAGGCAGACCCATGCACAGACACATGAAGCGCACACAGACACATCTGTGCTCAGACACACAGACCCATGCATAGGGCCAGATAGACCTGTGCCTAGACCCATGCTGGGTGGACAGGCGCATGCATAGAGGGGCAGTGCAGACAGACCCATGTGCATATCCACATTCAGTGCAGACAGACCCATGCTGGGCGAGAGACCCCCAGCTCGCTCAGACAGACAGATAGAGGCGCAAGCCCCGCCCCACGCAGCGCACACACCCTCCCACCCTGGCCAATGGGAGCCGGGCGGCGGGGGCGCGTCACTCCTGGGCCGGGGGAATCTCTTGAATGAGCCACATTGTTGCAGCGGGAAGTAACTAACGTGCCGGCTGCTGCCCGCTTGCTCGCTCCTGCGCTGCCGGGGCCGGCGGATCGAGACCGGCATCGGCTCCCCCGCGCTGCGGAAGATGATCGCGTCCCACCTGCTCGCCTACTTCTTCACCGAGCTCAACCATGACCAAGGGCAGAAGGTGGGTGTGCCCCCCCCCATCGATACCTGAGTGCCGATACCTCGAGTGGGTGGGTTAGTGAGGCTCAGAGCGGGACCCGAGGGCGGGAGGAGCGGTCCGCTCTGCGGTGGGTATGGACACCGAGCCGGGGGTTAGCGAGACGTGAGGCATGTGCCTGTCAGTCGGAGAGAACTCACCGGTCCGGGGACTGGAGCGAGCGATGCCTGGCTGCGGGGGGGGGTCCGTCCCCCCAGCCCCTTGTGAGGGGGGGGCTGCAGTGCACTAACCCTCCCCCCCGGTCCGGTTGAATGGCTGAGAGTTCGGCTGAGAGTCTCTTTCGATTTTATTTTTTTGGGGGGGGAGGGCTAATAGTGGGAGTGGGAAGCGGGCTCCCACCCCCCGATACCGGGGCTGGGAGCCCGGGCGGCGGATGGACTGGGCAGCTCGGGGTCCCTCCTGGGAGGTCCCGTTCCGGGAAACTCCGTGCATGATGTCTCACGTCCTGTGTCTCGCTCTGCAAACCCGGCAGGCGGGGAGGGGGGTGTGCCCGAACCTCATGGGCCGCAGCTGCGGGGGGGGGGGCGGTCTTTCCATTGCCTTGCTTTTATGGCGAGAGTAGGGGGTCCCCGGCCCCAGGGGTTTGTTTGGAGGAAGGGGAGGGTCTCTCTACTGCCTTGACTTCATGTCCCCACCCCAGCTCCCCATGGGCCGTGGGGTGAAATGATTCTGGTTTGGGGGGTTCTGCCCACGGGTTAAGGGTGGGTGGAAGGATGTGACCTGATCCTGGGAGGGGCCGATTCTGAAGGCGTTTCCCCCTCCCCGGGGGTTTAGTTCCAGCCGGGATGCGTTTGGAAAGGAAGCGGCTGCAAAGTGTCTGTGGGGAGGGAATTCTGGCTCCCCTTGTCTTGCTGCCAAAGCCTGGCCCAGCAGGATGGCTGGGGGCGCCCCTGGCGCTGAGATTAATTTCCCACTCCTGCTGCTGGGTTTTACTGGAGCCGTGTCCCTGACCACCAGACCCTTTCAGTGCCTGCTAAATCTCCCTCCCTCCCGGCCCCGGGGTAGGTGGGGGGGGCTGGGAAACCAGGGGGCGCTTTCCTGCCAGTCAACAAAATGGTTTCTTTTAAAGCATCCCAAAGTTCCTCGCTCCCTGGATTTGAGATTTTGCTTTGGCCCGTTATAGACAATAACCTTCCTGTAGCTTGTTCCAGCCAAGGCTCTTACAACCCCCTGTGACTGGGGATAAGTATTTTCCCCCAGTTTATAGCTGGGGACATGAGGGACAGGTTGTAACTTACCCAAGGTCCCATAGGAAGGCCAAGGCAGAGCTCAGGTGAAACCACATTTACTGATCCCCAGGCCTAGCTTGAGCCACATGGCTGCGATTTAAAGTTTTGCTTTAGGCTCCCTGTCTATAAGAGCGAGGGTTATTTTAGGACATGTCCGAGTGGGATGCTTAGATTTATGAGAAAACCTTACCTGGAGGGTTCCTCCCTGCAAGCCCAAAGAGGGCTCTTCAGTGGTGTCTTCAATGCTTTCCCTTTCCCCCTCGTCTTGTGGGATAGGGGAGGTTAACTGGGGACACAGTGGGTGTCCGCATTAGCTGGATGGTGACACAGTGTGGATATATGCCGAATGTCAGCGCTGCCCTACGGTTTGGGTAAGAGAGCAGGGTTGAGGAGATAGCCTAGATCACTCAGGATTTGCAAACCAAATGGCTTTTTGATGAGGTGGGGGTGGGGGGGAGGGAGAGTGAACTATGTTGTGACTGGGAGCTTTGAATCCAATTTTAGTCCCCAGCAAACCTGTGTTACATATTAACGTGTTTTTTCTATACCAATTAGAAAACAAAAATTTTAACTCTGCCTCCTGCTTTGTCTGGAAAGTGAGCGGCAAAGATATCAACACTGCTTTCTTTAAAAAAAAAATTAATACAAAAAAACACCCAGTAAAGCTCAATTCTAAGTGCTACAGTCACATGTTACTGTGTACACATGCACACAGATGCTCTAGCTCATCTGAAGCTGCTGAGCAGGATTTCTAAACTCCAATTAATGCTTCCTTTTTAGAGAGAGAAAAAAAATCACTTCCTCATTTTAGTACCATGGATTTCCTTTGTAGCAACAGTGACAGAGATAAGACCCCGCTCGCCAGGGAGACCAGATGTAAAACTAAGAAACTACCATGCCTCTGATGTCCCTGGTGGTGGCTGCATTAAATTGGAAGTAAAAATACCTAGCAAAAATCAAATTGATATGTAAAGAAATAGTTTAGGCCTCTGTCTTGTTCCACTGCAGTTAGATATAATGGGGCTTGTGTAACAGTGGAATCAGCTCTTATGGTATATGTAGTGTAGCAAGATGCAGGAGGTAGGCCAGTAGTGTGGGTGCATTAGCTCTGGTTTTCCTTGCTGTTCTCAGTTTGCTATGCTCTTATCAGTAAGTTAGCATAAAGTTCTTTCTTAAGGAATTTCACTTGGTTCCAAACCAGGAACATGGTATGCAAAGCATGGTCTGTCCCTCTGTTTCAGTAACTACTCTTGCTAGGGAGAGCAAACAAAGGTTATTGTTTGGATATGGGAAAAAGTTGCAAGCAATAAGTGGGCTGTAGCCCACGAAAGCTTATGCTCAAATAAATTTGTTAGTCTCTAAGGTGCCACAAGTACTCCTGTTCTTCAAGCAATAATTGGCTCTCAGAAATACTCAACAAGACGGTTCAGCTACACTGGCTGTGTTTATGTATGATGAAACAGGTTTACAGATACTTTTCCTGAATAACTGCTTCCAGACTTGGATTTCTTTCAGAATTGTTTATTAAATACCCTTCTGTGAACCCTCTTATTTAAAAAACAAACAAACAAACAAACAAATCCTTTAGTTAATGGCCACGCTACTTTAAACGCCGATTGTGCTGTTTCTTTGTCAAGACAGTGGATTGTGTTTGACTGTCTTTTGCGATGTGGCTGCAGTGGGCCCCCGCCAATGTTACTTGGGGGCCTCTGGGCACTATAAAATCAAACAGTAATAACGCATAGGTACTCCAGCTTTTCCACAGTGTGGACTGCATCGCGTCTCCCATTTGCAGTTGCATGCACGGGAAAGTAATCTTCGGAAAATAGTGAATGTATCTCTTTGCTGTTTCTAATGCACCTTAGCAGTTGGAATCAAGGAGATCCAGGTAGGCAGCCCATCCTCCGCAGACCACAAGTGTAAAGCAAGAAGCAGCAATAACCTTGGCCGACTGATTTGGTGAAATGACACTTCATTAACTTGCATCTTCATGGAACTGACTGGGGAAGAACAGAGTATTTATATATTTAAAAAAAAAATCTGAGCAGGTTATTGATCCTGTTGCTCCAACCGTGGCTGATGGAAACCGTTCCTGATCACAGTCCTTTTCAAGAGGTAGTGTTGTCTCTTGATTAAAGCTGGAGTCCATGAACTTGCACTCCTGGGTTCCGTTCCCAGTTGCCATGATGTTGCCATGATTCCCGTCCATGAAAAACGCATCACGGACCGTGAAATCTGGTCTCCCCCCATGAAATCTGGTCTCTTATGTGCTTTTATCCTATACTATACAGACGTCACAGGGGAGACCAGCGTTTCTCAAATTGGGGGTCCTGATCCAAAAAGGAGTTACGTGGGGGGTGGGGGAGTATCGCAAGGTTAGTTTAGGGGTGTGTGTTGCGGTATTGCCACCCTTACTTCTGTGCTGCCTTCAGAGCTGGGTGGTCAGAAAGCGGCAGCTGTTGGCCAGGTGCCCAGCTCTGAAGGCAGAGCCCTACCAGCAGCAGCGCAGAAGTAAGGGTGGCAATACCATACCATGCCATCCTTACTTCTGCGCTGCTGCTGGTGGTGGCTCTGCCTTCAGAATTGGGCTCCTGGCCAGCAGCTGCTGCTCTCCAGCTGCCAGCTTTGAAAGCAGGGCTGCTGACAGCAGCAGCACAGAAGTAAGGGTAGAAGTACTGCAACCCCCCTACAATAAGCTTGCGCCTCCCCCACCCCCCAACTCCTTTTTGGGTCAGGATCCCTACAATTACAACAGGAAATTTCAGATTTAAATAGCTGAAATCATGTAATTTATGATTTTTTAAATCCCATGATCATGAAATTGACCAAAATGGACCATGAATTTGGTAGGGCCCTAAGCATAAGTCACTTAACCTTCAGTTTGCCCAGTTGTAAACTGGGTCGAAGTCACTCTTGTCAAACCTCAAAGGGGTTGTGTAAACTTAATGAATGTTTGCAGAGCACTTTGAGATCCACAGATGAAAGGTGCTTTAAAAACGCTAGGACTAATCATATTTGAATGTGGCACATTCACTGGGCCGGTGCTGCGTGTCTCATACATTAATGTTGATAGAACCATTATGCTTTAAACTGATGTCATTTGTGGCAGAAATAATACTAGGAAAAGTACTAACTGCATGTGGACACTTGTGATTCATAGCTGAAAAATTGGGCTGGTATGTTTTTCTTTTCCTTCTAGCTAAAGGTACTAATTAGGGATAAGTTTGTTGTTTAATTTTACTTTCATAATGAGGCCTCCCGTTCAGTACAATGTCTCTGTCTGTCTCTTCAAGTGAAGTCGGCTATGTGGAAGTCGTCGACCTTCCATCTTTTGCAGAGTTGTAAAACTTCCACTCTCCTTTGGAGATCAGTCCATTTGACCGTTTTCTGACGTGACTGGCTCATTCTTTTGCTCGCTTAGAGGAAGGATTTAAGTATCTTCTTCCCCTTGTCGCTTGGAGTTGTTCTTAAATCTCAGTGTCATTGTCTCTTCCATTTAAACTGTGACTGCACAGTTGTGCTGGGAAGGATGGTGGGCGGAGGTTCCCTGGAAACTGGCAACTTCCAGCTACTGAAAGAGTCCAGCAATGTCTGTGGCTGGCAAGCTTTCTCATAATACCCAGCCAATAACCTTCACCTTTGCCCTGCAGGCAGCTCTTCTAAGGGCCTCTCTGCTCAGTGTCCCAATTGTGATGGTTTCTGCATTGTGGGTACCTGCCATCTCAGGACTGGATA